GGTCCTTCCACCCCAAACCATTCCAGGATCCCACAATTCTCAAACCCCTTCCCCCTGCAGCACCACACAACCCGAAAGTGAGATCCCTTAAAAAAGGGAACTTTATCCCAGCAGATCAAAGATYCCAGTTTCATTCCAAGACTGCTCCTAACACAGAGGACTCTGCAGAAGTTTGGATTTTCCCCAAATCAGCTCCAGCAGGAGCATCCCATCCGTGTTCACAAAGGTGATCCTGGACAGAAATCCCCAAAACGAGAAGGGAACTGGGAATCTCAATAGGAAATTCAGGAGATGGGGAACAAACCCCTCTGGTGTCCCTCAGGCTGTGCTGGGTTCATTCTTTGTGTCACATCCCAAATATTGCACCCCAAAGCCCTGTGGGGTTGGGAGTGACTCAGGCAGTGCTGCTGGACTGTGGAATCCACCCCTGTAAAATATGGGAACAGCACTTCCTGAGCCACCCCCTGATCCCACAGCAGCACCCACCCCCAAATCCTTCCCAGAGAGCCCAGAATCCTTTATGGGATGGATGGGATGGTAAAACCCCTCTTCCCTGCAGCCCAGGGTGAAGCAGAGCCCTCCAGGAGAGGTGCCCTGTGGCACTGGGTGTCCCTGGTTGTCCCTGAACCCCAGGGAGTGGTGCCAGCCCATGCCAGCCTGGTATTCCAGGGTCCCTGAGCCACGGGAGTCACCTGTCCCAAGGATTTAGGGGGCTCTGGTGGGCTCAGTCTTCAACCCAAACCCCAAAGGAACAAAAAAGGGCTTTGGGAAGCTCTGCCCACTGCTGTGTGGGGTTCAGAGAGCCCAGCTGACTCAGGGTTTGGGGACAGGGACCATTTTCCAGCCCAGCGGGATCTGAAGGATGCACCCTGTTATCCTGGGGGCTCTCCAAACCCTCAAACCCCGCTGGATTAACGGGGGACACCTCAACCCTCTCCATGGGATGGGAACTCCCAAAACCTCTCCCCTGCAGCAGAGAGTGTGGGGAGGAATCCCACAGGTGACCCCTGCCCCTTTCCCTTCACCCCACGGGTGATCCCTGCCCCTCTTCCTTCACCCCGACCCCACGGGTGATTCTTGCCCCTTTTCCTTCACCCACGGGTGATCCCTGCCCCTCTTCCTTCACCCCACAGGTGATTCCTGCCCCTTTCCTTCACCCCATGGGTGATTCTTACCCCTTTCCTTCACCCCACGGGTGATCCCTGCCCCTCTTCCTTCACCCCGACCCCACGGGTGATTCCTGCCCCTTTCCTTCACCCCACGGGTGATTCCTGCCCCTTTCCTTCACCCCACAGGTAATTCCTGCCCCCTTTTCTTTCACCCCACAGGTGATTCCTGCCCCTTTCCCTTCCCTCCATCCCTTTTCCCGCCATCCCACCCCTTTCCCCCCGATCCCACCCCTTTCCCCGCGATCCCATCCCATCCCATCCCCGCCTTCCCTAAGCGCCTCCAGGGCTGTTTTTCGCTGGGTTTTATTTTTCCCGTTCCCTGCCATCAGCAAAGGGTGGAAATTTCCACTGGCGCCGCCGATCAGGGAAGGAGCAGCGAAGGGGGAAGGGAGGATGCGCTGATTCCGCATCCTCTCCGCGCTCCGAGGAGTGCGATGGGAGCGCACGAAACCTGCGGGGCTTCAAAAAATAAAAAAAAACAAAACACCTCCCTCCAGGGCAGCCAGCCAGGTGCCTTCCCTCTGCCACCAAAACCAAAATT